GTTATGACACTTGAATGATAACTACAGTATCGTTTCTCTTATTGTAGACTAAGGAGTCGTGAAAATTGCATAGCTTGAGATTGGGGCAGTATATACAAGGTATGTTAAGGCTCTTCCTTCTTTCTTTTTGGCATGATCTAAACTGAAAACGGACATAAACGATACGCTATTNTGAACGGGAGTACCTGTATCTGCACAACAAAAATGTGCAGAAGAGTAGCATGAGCACACCACGGCGGTGCCCGGTAAGTATCGAGACTAACCTCGGTGGAGTAGTGACGAGGAACAGTCAAGGCACCTACCGGTCAAATAAACAGTATAATCATAGGAATAATGGAACCGACATATAAATATGTAAAGTCTGCATGAATGACAAAAGAAATGCTACAATTCACAATAATGAAAAAGGGCAACAAGTAACAACGAGAATATAGTAAATGACGATACGAAATGACGACAGAAACACAATCCAAATCCTAAGGTCACAACACAGCAAAGGGAAAACAAGTCAATAATTCATATCCTACATGATGTCCACATAAGGTCTTATTCGACCCCTCTCAACAATTTTACCAAATTTCGGACAAACCACAACTCACGAGAACCCAGCGTCTGAAATCCAACACTTGGCATCCTATGCCCCATAAATCTCACGGTCATGCGGACAACTCACTGGCTAACTAGGGCCACTCTCACATGTAAAAATGGATAAACGAGGGCGTACCTCAACCCTTAGCAAAATCAGGAGGAATTCACCTCTATTAGGAGTGTTCAGCTACGTATATGCTTGTGCAAGTGTTTCTAACAAAACTCTACCAGCTAGTAAACGTGAAAAGGGGAACGGACCGCACGTACGATATTTCCTCACAACTTCCAAGCGATAAAGCTCATACAGGTAAGCAATCCACAATCTCCATATTAAACAATAGGAAACGCCTCCACAGGCCGTCACAATTCTTTACAATCAACCCCTGACATAGCCCACCTTATTTTGCCACGCGTGCAATTAATAATATAATAGGCACCGCCTTATTTCGCCACATGTGCATCACAATGCTACCACCTTATTCTGCCACATGCGCAACCCACATATAAACATATAACATATCCCGCCTTATTACGCCGCATGTGCAAAAACATCAATAACAACAATAGCACGGCAAAGACCTCGTGTAACCCTTCAACAACAACCGCACGGCAGAAACCTCGTGCATCACAATATCGACAATCGCACGGCAGAAACCTCGTGCATCACAATATCAATACAACACTACAAATGGCAATATATACAGGAACAAAGCAAGAGAATCAACTCAAGAAATTTCCGCTCACCAAAAGACGGTACAACTAACTCACAAGGAATAACCGTAACAGGGAAATACTAAGCGCAATAAGAACAACTCAACAAGGGAGAAATAATATGAAACGACGATTTCATAATACTAAGTTCAACAACAAGGAAGTTAACATGAATTAAACAAATTACAATTTAAGGAAATATCAATTAAACATAGGATATCTAACTTCTTTCCAATGAGGACCAATTAATTACATGAAAGATAGAAAATAGTGTTTCCAAATAAAGACAAGCAGTTAGGAGGGATAATATGACTATAGAAGGGTAATGTCTACAGTGAAACAAGTAAAAGTCAATTAGGCAACAAGAATAAGCCAAAAAGGGCAAATGAATTCCAAGTAAGACATGTAAAGGCGAAGCTAATGACAGGGAGCTCAATCGCATCAAGAACAACTTCATATTCGGTGATTACAAGGATCTAGGAGCCTAAAAGGGGCAACTTTCCACAAATAAATCCGAGCACGCACTCGTCACCTCGCGTACAAGGAATACAATCAACAAAGAAGACTCAAATCCTAAGGGGAAGTCCCCCACACAAGGTTAGGCAAGATACTTACCTCGAACCTGCTAAAATCAACTAGCAACCACGTTCTTGCCACGAGTACTCGACTCCAAATGGCCCAAATCTATTCAATTAAATCACACATTGTAAATAACATCTCAAGCAACTGATTCTACTATTTAATTCAAAGCTAAAGCGCGAAATTAGGCAAAATGACCAAAATGCGCTTCAGGCTAACGTCTCGGAGTCGAATGATTTTCACATTTTCAGAACCCTCGTACTCTCACGAGTCTAACCATATAAAAATCTCCCAAATCGGAGGTCAAATGCTCACCCAAAACTCAATGGTTTAGTCTAAGAAGTTTTTCTCCCATTTTGATGCCAAATTCGAAATTAGATGATGGATTAAGCTATATATTGATGGAATACAACTAAAAGGGATTAAGAAAACGTTACCCAATGATCTTCACTTCAAAAATTCACTCAAAATCGCCCTCTCCCGAGCTCTCAATTGATTTTTCCAACTTTTGAAACCCAACCCTCGAAATTCCCTTTTCTGAACAGGTGTTTCCGCTTCTGCGGACAAGGGACCGCTTCTACGGTCCCGTTTCTGCGGAAAGTGAGCCGCTTCTGCGACTCTCACTAAAACAGCCACATCCGCTTCTGCGGTCCAGTCAACCGCTTATGCGGTTCCGCTTGTGCGGATTATCCACCGCTTCTGCGGTTCCAAACAAAAGCCAAACGGCCGCATCTGCGGCTATTTTCTCGCAGATGCGAGGCCGCTCCTGCGGAATTCCCTCCGCATCTGCGACGCCTGGAAACTCTGCCCAAACCGCTTCTGCGATGATCCAGCCGCTTATGCGGCTCCGCTTCTGCGGTTTCCAAGCCGCATAAGCGAAAATACGAGAAGATGAAAAACCAGCTGCTGCAACACTTCAATAATCTCCCCGTTAACCACCCGAAATCATCCCGAGGCCCCCGGGACCTCAACCAAAAGCACCAATACTACCTAATACCTTATTCGAACTTGTACCAATCTTAAAAACACCTAAAACAACGCCGGAAACCCGAATTAATCAAAGATTCAAGCCTAAGAACTTCAAATTCCAACAAAACACGCTTTCGATCAAAAACCTAACCAAACCTCGTCCGAATGACCTGAAATTTTACACACACATCCCAAATGACATGACGGAGCTAATGCAACTTCTGGAATTCCAATCCGACTCTCGAATCAAAAACTCACTATCGGACCGGAAACTTCAAAAATTCAAACTTCGGCATTTCAAGCCTAAATGAGCTACGAACTTCCAAAATACATTCCGAACACGCTCCCAACCCCGAAATCACCTAACGGAGCTAACGGAACTATCAGATTTCCATTCCAAGGTCGTCTTCACACTGTTCTGACTACGGACCACTTTCTAACACTTAAGCTCTCATTTAGGGACTAAGTGTACCAAAACACTCCGAAACACCTCACCGAACGTCCCGGCAAACCAAAATAGCAGAAATGAACTTAGGGGAAGCAGTTAATAGGGGATCGGGGCGTGAGTTCTAAAAACGACCGATCGGGTCGTTACAGATTAGCCCGTGTATTAATAATTAGAGTAATTAAGTAGAAGTATATTAATAGTATTCTTAAGAACTATTATTGGTTGATTAGCTTATACATTGAGAATTACACTAAGTAGAAGTGTATTAGTAATAGCAGTAAGAAAAATTAGTGATTGATTAGCCTATACAATGAAAACTCTACTAAGTAGAAGTGTATTAGTAGTTTATAAAATGATAACTACACTAAGTAGAAGTGCAATAGTGATATTCTTAAGTAATATTAGTGATTGATGAGTATTAGTTGATACTTAACTACGTGAAAGTGGTTTAGTAGTAATTAGCTTGTAAATTAATAATTACATTAGCTTATGATTTATTTTAAATTATTAATTTCATTGTTAATTAATGCTAAAAGATGAATTACATTGAAAATATTACATACACACACACATACTAATTAAGTAGAAATGTATTAGTAGTATTCTTAGTTCTCACACTAAGCAGAAGTGTAATAGAAATATACCAGTAAGAAATGTTAGCGGTCGATTAGCTTATAAATTGATAGCTACATAAACAAAAATCTTGAATTCCTGAATTTCCTTTGCCAATAGACCAATCAATGGTGCTCTATCGGAAACCGGAGGTAGACCCAAGATTTAAAAGTTGCGAGGGCACATAAGCGAATTGTTCAACCAATGTTCTCATCGGACTTTTGATTTTAAGCGTTCCAAGCAAAATATATGACTATTTTTTACATATATAAACTTATATATTCAGAATTTTTGACGAAGTTAACGGGATCTGGTGACCTTTCTTCTTCAAGTATATGTCCGCATCTGGTTTGAGAGATTATAAATATAAAATAAATAAATTAAAATTTTCATATGTTATTGTTTAAGTTGTGAAATTTGAAAAATTCTCATAATCTAGCACTTATCACGTGGAAATGCCATATCCTAGGTCGGTAACAGCATTTGACTTGAGCAACAGAATAAATCGCCAAATTGATTGGTCTAAAGTGTCTAAACTCAAAAGTTATTACTACTTTTTTTAAACGGAAAACGGGTCCTAAAAACTGCCCCTCTACCTA